TTCTGTTGTAGACTATCCCCTCTTCTGTTGTAGACTATCCCCTCTTCTGTTGTAGACTATCCCCTCTTCTGTTGTAGACTATCCCCTCTTCTGTTGTAGACTGTCCCCTCTTCTGTTGTAGACTATCCCCTCCTCTGTTGTAGACTATCTCCTCTTCTACAATCGTGCCCACGAATATGGCGATTTGATCACATGATCTCCAGGTCGTTACTACACTTGAGAACCTGTGCAGCTAAAATAAAACTACCCAGCACACTTTGAAGGACTAATCTTCCACATTTTATACCAGATTCACTCATTTTTGAAAATCTCAGTTAGCTCTGGCAGCCATTTTTAATGGGGTCGACTTCGTGAGATATTTTGCTGACACACACAGATCAGCTGTGGATGATAACTGTAGAAATCAATCGTTCAGCTGTTAWTGTTTTCTGGTCCTCCAGGTCAATCAGCCCAAGTTCAACCAGCGGCGGATCAGCAGCGCCAAGTTCCTGGGCGAGCTCTACAACTACCGCATGGTGGAGTCGGCCGTCATCTTCCGCACCCTGTTCTCCTTCACCTCCTTCGGGGTGAACCAGGACGGCAGCCCCAGCCCCCTGGACCCCCCGGAGCACCTGTTCCGGATCCGGCTGGTCTGCACCCTGCTGGACACCTGCGGCCAGTACTTCGACCGCGGCTCCAGCAAGAAGAAGCTCGACTGCTTCCTCGTGTACTTCCAGGTGGGCCTCGGCGGTCCGGCCCGGTGTTCCGGCCCGCTGCTGAGCTGTGGCGCTTTAATGTGAAGGTTTAATCTGTGTGTGCAGAGGTACATCTGGTGGAAACGGAGCCTGGACATTTGGACCAAGGACCACCCGTTCCCCATCGACATCGACCACATGATCAGAGACACGCTGGAGGTGCTCCGGCCCAAGATGAGGCTCAGCTGCTCRCTGGACGAGGCCACCAAGCAGGTGTCGGACCTGGAGAGGGAGGTGCTCGTCAAGCTGGGTAAGCACCATGCTCCCTGCGTGATTTGTGCCCGTCTCACCGGTTCGTTGGCTCTCTGTCGAACCGGCAGAGCAGCATTTCCAGGCGTGTAGGAGTTCTGCATACCAAACACACACACTCGTTAATAAAAACACACGAGTCAGAAATGATGATTGTTTGGTTCCTTTCAGGTCGGTCTAGAAAACAGTTTTGACTCATCAAAAATTTGTTTACCTTATGTCAGTGGATGGACACATTTCAGTGTCATTTTTTATTGCATCTTTACTGTTTTATAGAAAAATATCAAACTTCGTCTATAAACAGCTGCTAAATAAGATGATTTGATCTTTTTTCTCTAAAATATCTTGGTCTCGTTAAACCTTAATGTAGACGTCTGAAAAAACTGACTTTAGTAATTAAAAATRTTTTGTTTACAGTGAAACAAATAAACAAAGCAGAGGGTGGAGCTAAAAGTTGGAGCATTTAWAAGTTTGTTGTCAACAAAAAGCTCTAAACTATAAAGATATGAAGAAGAAACTGGAGGTCGTTAAATATGGTGCAGTATGAGGGCCAAAATTAGGACCACTACRCAACCAGCAGTTGCTACATCTTTGTAGCAGGAGGTTATATCTATTCCTAAACCAGCTATTGATCTGATTAATGATAGGCCGGCACCGCTAACTGAGGCTGGCACTGGAAAATGAGAAGACTATTCATTTGGGTTAAAATCAGTGGCTAGTGACTAGCATGGATAATCTGGCGTTAGCATTAGAGAGGCTAGTGACTAGCATGGATAAGCTGGTTTTAGCATTGGAGAGGCTAGCAACTAGCATGGATAAGCTGGCATTAGCATTGGAGAGGCTAGTGACTAGCATAGATAAGCTGGCGTTAGCATTGGAGAGGCTAGCAACTAGCATGGATAAGCTGGTGTTAGCATTGGAGAGGCTAGCAACTAGCATGGATAAGCTGGCATTAGCATTGGAGAGGCTAGTGACTAGCATAGATAAGCTGGCGTTAGCATTGGAGAGGCTAGTGACTAGCATAGATAAGCTGGCATTAGCATTGGAGAGGCTAGTGACTAGCATGGATAAGCTGGCGTTAGCATTGGAGAGGCTAGCGACTAGCATGGATAAGCTGGTGTTAGCATTGGAGAGGCTAGTGACTAGCATAGATAAGTTGGCGTTAGCATTGGAGAGGCTAGTGACTAGCTTGGAAAAACTGGTGTTAGCATTGGAGAGGCTAGCAACTAGCATGGATAAGTTGGTGTTAGCGTTGAAGAGGCTAAGGACTAGTATGCCTAGGCTGCTCGCCTAATGTATTAGAAACAAACATTTTTGAATAATAATATCTGGTGAAGTTCACACAATAGTCTTAATTTTGACCCTCTTAACGTGCCATAACAGAAGAAGTTTAAGTTTTGGACAACTTTTCAGAAATTTTTTCCAACATACCTAAACTCGAGCTTTATCTTTATTTATTTTTTACAAATGAGTTTCAAGAAAACTGAAGATTATAATCAAAAATTCTCAGTTCTTGAAAGAATCGGGTCTCTGTTCTGAGCACCGGGATGACGACAGAGGAGGAAKAAGGAAACATTCCTGCGGCAGGTGSTTCTGGATCTGCGACCCGATAACAGCACACGGACCGGTCTTAGTTACACAGTTTCAAGGTGTTGAATTGGAACGCAGAGAAAAATGTGAAACTGCAGCTCCACCCTCTGAGAAAAGTGACATGGGCGCGGTCACCTGAAGTCGACACAGATCCGACACTGGAAAGTAAAAATGATCCGATAACTGCTGAGGAGAAGTGAAACAAGTCTGCAGGTAAACCTCGGGTGTCACAACAGGTTCACCTGAGGAAGATCTGTTGATTCATCACCTGAGTCTGTAGGTTGCAGTAGCTTTGTGTTAAAGAGGACTGAGTGATTGATGGGGCCCCTCTGGGTTAAACAGTGGCCCCTTTGTTATCTTTCATAGTTGAAGGAGGACGTGGCATTCCTCAGGCCTGCAGTCACAGACCTGATCTGCAGCTTCATCTTTGTCGTCACGCTTCAGTCAGCTCAGCAACGTGTCGCACTTTCCTCTGCAAAAAAACAAACACTGAGAATCCAGAATTTAAATTAAAAATTTACATGCAGTCTTTGTTTCTATAAAGGCATGGCCATGGAGAACAACGGTCGCTCCAGCGCAATGAGCGAAGGGGAGGCCCTCGACGAGGAGGACGACGACGACGAGGAAGAGGGAGGCGCCGAAACCGAGGAGCAGTCGGGCAACGAGAGCGAAATGAACGAACAGGAAGAGGACGTGAGTGACGAGGTTCATCGTGTTCCAGAGAAGCACGTTGGGTTTAATCCCTGGAACGAAATCTGTTTTGTTTCTCCACAGATTCATCGTTTTCTCAATTTCACATTTTCACTCTTATTTTTCAAGTTTTTCTTCAGATTTATAAAAATCTCTATGGTTTCACGCTAAGCTTCATGTTTTAATTTTGTAGAGGACTTTGGTGTTTTCACGAGTGTCTTCTCCACAGCTGACATATATACATTATACATATATATATTATATATTATACATATTTATATTATACATATATATATTATATGTTATATATTTCTGTCTGTCTGTGTGGAGAGGAAAGCCCACCCCACGTTACCAGATAATGTCAGAGAAAGGGTTCAAAAGACCTCAAACTACTTAGGGCTTTAAAGTGCCTGTGACCACAAATTTTTGTAATAAAGATGAATGTATTTTTAGAAAGAGGACACTGATAAAATATGACAAAAGAAATTTGATGTCGCTGAGATGAACAGTTTTTGAGATTTTTGCCTGTGAAGTAACAGGAAGTGATGTCAAAGGGGACTGTCTGCATGTGAACAGAGCGTTGTTACAAAAGCCAAAAACCCAGACTGTAGAGAAGTATCTGATGTTTCTTAAGATTATTTTGAGTCACTATCAGTAAGAGAGTAAAAGTTCAAATAATATTGTTTCATTAAACAAAGACCAGAGAGTTTTCTTTGTTAAAGAGTTCCCCTTTGATGTCACTTCCTGTTTCACTTTGAGCCAAGTTCAAAAGAAAACATGCCAATTATGAGACAAAATGGGTTAAATCGTGCGTATTATTCCAACTTTCTTAAAATAAAGATGTTTTCTTTGACTTTTTGTATTTAAAGAATATGCATGTCACAGGTACTTTAAAAACTAATATTGATACACTGAAATATCACGATATTTTCTTTACTGATACCGTATCGAATCTCAAAAGCATCGTATTGATTTTTAATTAAGGCTAAATTAAAGGATGTAGTATTTTATTAAATTTCTTGCACAGTGTGCTCTTTGCACTGAGGTTTTTTTATTTGTTTTTTTGGAGAAAAAAAAGTGATTATTTACAGTATCACAATACATGGTGGTATATCATATCGTGCAAACTACTGTAGGTGGAGCAGTTGAACACAGATCCACTGACCTGTGACMTGTAGTGGTGCAACCACACATATATCTGTATGGAACCGTTCAATGCACACTATGTATGGAACAATACAGATTTTTAACATTTATTTTATCAACTTATCTTCTGAAGATGCTCTGTGTTGAAGGATCAATGGATCTGTGTTCGACTACTCCACCTAGGCTGCATTGTGGAGCTCAGATCCACTGAGAAACTTGCTGTTTCAGCAACATGTCTTTTAAAAACTGTACTTTTGAGGTTAAACAAATATTTCAATAAATTACAAGTTAAAAAGGGAATGGACATTTCTCGTTCTGTATCAAAAAGATATTGAACAGTAAGACTAAAGTATCGAATCGAATCGTGACTTTTCTTTATCGTTACAACCCTAGGTGTCATGATAAACACACAGCACCAGAAACTTCTCTGAAGGTCTGACCTCAGTGTTTCAGTCAGATTGACGTTCTGGACTGAGTTTGTTGTTTTCCTCCTGCAGCTCTTCTAAACGAGCTGTACTTGTTCAGTCTTTGTGTCATKGTCCTGCCGTGACCTTTGACCTTTACTCTTTTGACCGAGGCGTGCAGAGCTCATTTCTCTGAGCTGAGTTTGTTCAGACTGAAWATTAAACCGTTTTATTTTTTCTGTTCCGCACAGATGAACCACTGAAATGAAAAGCAGCTCAAGCAGCTGTTTGTTTATTTGTTTACCTCACATCCTCCTTTGTGTTTTTTTGGCACATCTTTATTAGATAGATAATTAAAGGAACGAGACGCTTCTCTTTAAATTGTTTCTTCTGAAGCAGGAAATACCAGAACAAGTAAAATCATTTTTCCCTTCGTTAATTAGCAGGAAGTGTTTTTGACGACTTTGCTTTGTTAACCCAGCTCCTGGTCCTTTTCTTTGTTCCTGAACTGTTTGAGTCTCTTCAGTTTCATCTGGTCGAGTTATGGTTATATTTACGATGTTTCTTTTTTATTTTATTCCAAATAAAATCATAATCCTGTTAGCTTAGCATAAAGACTGGAAATAATAATCCCACAGCCGTGACAGCAGTGAAGATAAACATAGAATTCAGTAAAGTGGGGTTTGATTTGTTTTTTTTTTTTCAGTGTTAAATCCCATTTTTGTTCATTTATCTTTAGTTGTGAGTTACTTTTGTTACAGAGTCGTGTCTTTGGTCTCCTGCAGGAAGCATCGGAGAACGAAGAGGAGGACAGGGAGGAAGAGGAGGAGGAGAACACGGACTACCTGACTGACTCCAATAAAGAAAACGAGACGGATGAGGAGAACAACGTAAGACTYGACACATTATTTATTTAGCTTTTATTGGGTGAACGGGGTAAAACGGTGCACCTGGTGATCAGGCTGGGTTTGGCTGAAGGTTTGGATTTTTCTCTGCAGGAGGTCACCATCCGTGGCGGTGGACTGAAGCATGTGGAATGTCCTGAGGACGAAGACTTCATCCAGGCTCTGGATAAGATGATGCTGGAGAACCTGCAGGTTTGACATCCTGCTAATAATTCTAATAAGTATCCACTCCTGTAAATCATAGCAATTAAACGTCTAAATACAGAATATTATGGGGAGGCATGAGGGCCGAAATTAAGACTATTGTGCAACAGCGGTTGCTACATCCTTGTAGCAGGAGGCWATATTTATTACAAAGCCAGCTAYTGATCTGATTAAAGATAGGTCAGCTAACTGAGAGGCAGGAGCYGGCAAATGAGAAGGAGACTATTCATTTGTGTTAGCRTCAGAGAAGCTGGTGTTAGCAATGAAAAGGCTAGTAACTAGCATGTAGAAGCTGGCGTTAGCATTATAGAGACTAGCATAGATAAGCTGGCGTTRGCRTCAGAGAGGCTAGCAACYAKCATAGATAAGASGGCGTTAGCAATGGAGAGGCTAGTGACTAGCATGTAGAAGCTGGCGTTAGCGTTATAAAGACTAGCAGCTTGCATAGATAAGCTGACGTTAGCATCAGAGAGGCTAGCAACTAGCATAGATAAGATGATTTTAGCAATGGTGAGGCTAGTGACTAACTTGTAGAATCTGGTGTTGACATTATAGAGCTAGAAGCTAGCATAGATAAGCTGGCGTTAGCATCAGAGAGGCAAGCAGCTAGCATGGAGAAGCTGGCGTTGGCACTGGAGAGGCTAGTGACTAGCATGAATAAGCTGGTGTTAGCATTGGAGAGGCTGGTGACTAGCATAGATAAGCTGGTGTTAGCATTGGGGAGGCTGGTGACTAGCATAGATAAGCTGGCGTTTGCAGTGGAGAGACTAGTGACTAGCATAGATAAGCTGGCATTAGCATTGAAGAGACTAGTGTCTAGCATGGATAAGCTGGCGTTAGCATTGGAGAGACTAGTGACTAGCATAGATAAGCTGGTGTTAGCATTGGAGAGACTAGTGACTAGCATGGATAAGCTGTCGTTAGCATTGGAGAGACGAGTGACTAGCATAGATAAGCTGGTGTTAGCATTGGAGAGACGAGTGACTAGCATAGATAAGCTGGTGTTAGCATTGGAGAGACGAGTGACTAGCATAGATAAGCTGGTGTTAGCATTGGAG